ACTGCAGAATTGTATCAGAAATTGTATCAGAAATTAAGTCACTATTTCAATTTTTTTTAAGGAAAAAATAATGTTTTTCAAGAAATAGAATACTATTGCGGAGCACTATTTTGGGAGCTTTTAAGTCCTTGTCCATTGTCTTGCCAAATAAATGTAAGTCTGAACTATCAGTTAAATCAGTGCATTGCAGTCTAATGATCACACATAGTGTTAATGTACAGAATAGTTAAGAATGTGGATTTGAATAGCTACAAGGTGGGTGCAGTACATGAACTAAGGAAGTCTTAATCCTAAATGTGAGCTTTCTTTGAATTAAAATAAGTCATTACAATTAGTCATAATTACACATCATCTTTATTACTGCCTTCTCTTGCATTCTGACTGTAATCTTGAAAATCACAAGCAGAAAATATCAGATTATATCATACAAATGTGTAATTTAGCCTTCTCTTAGACCTCCTGGTGTTAACCAGGCTACAGTGAAACTAGAGGAACATCAGAGCTGCCTTTTACTCCAAATGCTTAAAGACTGTTCTGCATTTCAAGTAGGATGTCTGTATGTATGTGATCCATGGAGTAAATACAGCTGCCTTGTGTTTTAAATCAATTCTGTGAAAAATACCAGAAGTAGGCATATAGATTTAAAACTTAGTAAGTAGCTATAACCATGACTCCTAATAAAACATCTTAGATTAAAAACTTTTTAGGTCATACAAAGTATATCTGGTGCCATCTGCTGATAATAATTAAGAAATATTTACTAGTGATACTAAGCTCAAAGACCTAATACTCTTCTTACCCCAAAATACATTAAATTGCATTTTAAAATTTTATATGACTAATTACAAATTTCCCATGTGTTAGTGAAACTTTACCACTGTGACCTTAAAATTATAGGTCTCTACATGTTTTCATTGCATACTTGTATAATAACACAGACTTGCAGCTACTGAGTGTAAGTAATTAGATGTTATATAGAATCATAGAATCGTTTAGGTTGGAAAAGACCTTTAAGATTATCAAGTCCAACCGTTAACCTAACCCTGCCATCCCACCACTAAACTTTGTCCCTAAATACACTTCAAATGTGTGTACCCTGTTCTGATCGCTCAGGAGTCTTATATTGATATAACATTATATAAAGTTGCATTTATCCCTAAAAAGTCTGTTTTCTTTCAAAAATCTACAGTGTGTAAAAAGAAAATAGTATATGAAACCATGTAAGTTTTTCTTCTTTCCTTTGAATATCTAACATCTCTCTTGTTTCTGTTCTCTATCACTTGGAGAGCTGTGGGAAATTGTTTCTACCTTCAAAATACTTTAAATTACTTCCTTGTAATACAAGTTATGCATCCACAGCTTCATTCTCCATTAGGAAGCAAAGCAGCATTAATAGGAATGGATCAAGAGCAGCTTTCCAGTACCTCTGAGGAGGTTACTGAGAAGACAGGGTCAAACTCTTTACAGTGGTGCATAGAAGGACAAAGGACAAATTGAAATGGGGAAGTTCTTTCTTATGCAAGGAAAAATGAGGACCGGCAAGCAGTGGAACAGGCTACACAGAGAGGTTGTACAGTCTACATCCACGGAAGTATTCAATACCAAACTGGATAAAACCCAGCACAACCTGGTTTGATCTTGTAGTTGACCCTGCTTTGAGCTGGCAGTTTTCCTAGAGACCTCCCAAGGTCATTCCAACATGAGTGATGATTTAATGGCTTACACAACAGAACAGTCAATACTGAAGATGTGATAGCAACACTATTTGCATTTATGGTAATTAAGCTTAGACTAACTGTGGTCTAGCCCTGTAGATTGAATATGCATTAGCAGCATGAGCACTTCTGATGCACTGTGGAGCACAGCTTCCAGATTATACTCTGAGATACTGGGTTTTTTTTCTTCCCCCTGGTATTACCTTTTTAGGGTAAATTAACTTAAAATCTGTGAACTGTGAATAGCTGTAGCAGTTGAATATATGAAAAAAAAATTGCTGCTTTTATTCCTACCTAGGGACAATTTGGAAATTATTAGAAAAAGTTAAAACTAATACTAAAGAAAATATTATAAGAGAAAAAAAAAAAATGTCCTTTGTTATTCCAACTAGGTCAAAAGATGACTTTGCTCCTAATGGAAAAGCGGGCTTCTGCAAATGTCTAAAAGCAATTCATGCTTGGATATTACCAGTGTGAAGAGTCTAAAACAGAAAAGAAATGCAATAGAAAGTTGGCAGTTCTGAAGGAGTTTTGTCTTGCGGTGATATAGTAATTGATGCTAGGCATGGTGGTTAATAAGCATAAATTTATTCTAGGCTCTTGTGTTTTCCAGCTATTGGTAGGTGTCTCTATGTGCTCTATGATCTTTAGCTTTTTCAAGGCACAGATCATACCAGGATGTAAAATAACTGTCTTTCCCATTTGCACTGATGATCACCTGTTCTCCAAAAGCCTTTGAAGAAGTTTTTCTTGGGTGCATGCAACAAAATTTTTACTCTATATAAGCAGGGTCATTCCAGACCAGATGCGTGGTAAACTATTCAGTGTTCATGATGAGTTGTATATCTAATTTTGTCTGGGTTTCTTGATTACTGGCTGTCAGATTTTTGTTTGCTTGTGTTTGGGTTTGCTTTTCTTTAAGCTAAGCTTTTGATCAGTAGTTTTCATTGTCTAGAGCTGTAATTCCCCTGTCATGCAGATACTTACTTCTGTTCCTAGATAATTTAGTTTTTCAGTTCCATCTCTTAACTTTCCATGTTACTTTATTTTTTTGCATGTACGTTAGCATTTTTATACTTGTTGACTTACTGTTTCAATATCTTTTGTTGAACTTTTTCTTTCCTTCTAAGTGTCTCTTGGATGATAAAATTCCAGTTGAACATTTATTGGATTAATTATTTCAGATTTGGGAAATGCCAATAAATAAAGAATACCTGTGCCTGGGTGTTCCATGATGGGGAGAGTTCTTTTTCTTTGTAGGTACCCTCCATCATTTAGAATTTCACCTGATACCTCTCCTTTAGAAACTCCAATTTTAGAAATCTATTTTAGAAATTTTGGTAGAGATCTGGTTTTGGACTGTCAGAAGATAGAGCTTCAACCATAAGCAGACTTGTTTTGTCATGCCTTGAAGCCAAGATGTGTAGCATATACTCAGTCTTTGAAAATGTTGGAGCTTCACCTTATCTCCTAAAGCAGTACTGAAAGGCCAACCAAAACATATCGACAAGAAGAGGCTGAACAGTCAGCTGCTCTCCTCTATGCTTTAGCACATCGCATATGTGCATGTTTGTAATTCCTTGCAGTGCTCTGTTAGTGAAAATGAATTCTCAAAATGGAATACGTTTTGAATAAACTTGAAACAAGCAAAATCTTCTACACATTCATCCTAAATTTGAGCAGCATTCCTTGATCTGTCTTAGTGGTCACTCTCTTGCTAGTAGATGGATAAAGCTTCATTGGTGTAAAAGGCTTGGGTAAATATGCTGTGTGATCCTCCAAACTACCTATTAGGAAATTTACACTTTGCATGCAAACATCTACCTGATCCAGTCCTTTTGGTTTCTCCACTTTCATGAAAACAAAACTCAAATCATCTGTATTACCTGTTTCAGACTAATTTAAGTATCCCAGTAACTGCCACCATGGTCTTTGGCATTTCTTTCAGGCAATCAAGGCTGACCTAAACGCTAATACTTCTGTGTCACATTCACACTTACTTTAAATCTTTAAATCCCTGTCCTTTCTTGATGAAATCTGTTTCGCTCTCTACTGATTAACTCTAGGATGGGCAGTGGTTAAAACATTGAAAATCATATCTTTGGTTTGCGTGTGTGTAGAGTTGAAGGAAAGAAGGAAGAGGGGGATAGTGAAATGAGTACTACTGCCACTTTAAGGAAGAATATAGATCTTTCAGTATGGGCAATTGTGCTTGTCTTAGGAAATGAAGTATTGCAGTCATCAATGCAGCATTGCATTGATGAGTAACACAGATTACTCTGAGTTTCTTAACTACATTGTTATTTATGCTGAGTTACAGATCTTTGATCTTTCTGGTACTTCTAAAGAAATTGGGATTCTTTTTTCAGTGTTTCACAAATGTTGTTTCAGCTGTGCTTCATAAGAGGTTTAACTTTTTTCTAGCTGACAGACAACATTAAAATAAAGTTGCAGGTATCTGACATTTGATTTTTTAATGACTTTTGTGTTTTTAAAATGAAACACTTCTTTCCATGGGACTGTTACATACACGAACAACAAACAGGGTACATACAGTTTAGAATAGGAAATAAAGTTTTTCTCACAAATATTTTCATTGGTAGTGCTTTGGAAATGTCCTGAAAATACTGTAAGATTTTACAATAAAAATTTCCAACTTTATTGTAAAATTCAATTGCTTGTACTGCTACAATTTGTATGCGGTATTTCAAGTAGCATCATATCAGTTTTGACATTGCAATACTGAATCTACAGTAGGGATTACAATCTAATATGTAGGTCAAACAAATTTGGTTTTTTTTATTAGTCCTCAAAAGTGAACTGTTCTATGTTATGAAAATCTGTAGAACTGCACTTTAATTTTAATTATTGTTGTTATAGTTGTTCTTTGAAAGTGACTTCTTTATGTATTAATTTTTATTCAAATTTCTTTATTTTTAAAACTGAAAATGAAGAGTGTGCAAATGAAAATTCAACTTATTTACCAAGAATAAATACAGATTCTGACTCCCATAGTTACATTATTTATCTGCCCACGTAGTTTTACTTGCATGCTACGACAGAGGAATAAGGTAAAAATTACTGATGTGTGTTAAATGTGTTCTTGCAAGTGACCTCTACTTAGGAATGCTCGTAAGAAAAACTTACTAGACATTTCAATTAATGTGTTCATTACACATGTCCTTATTACACACATTTATTGTGCTTATAGGACGTATTTCTTTAAAGAAATGTAATTAAGTTTTTTTAATACATCTGTTGCCTCTGTGTGTTGTTTTTTTATTCCTAGATCTTCCTCAGAACTGTGATCCTAACATTCCCCTAGTTGCTCAGGAATTAATGAAAAAAATGATCCGTCAGTTTGCGATTGAGTACATTTCAAAAAGTAGCAAAATTCAAGAGAACAGAAATGGTTCATCGTTTGAACCAAGTCTGATATGTAAAAGTATCCAAATGAACCAAACGGAAAACTCCCTTCAGGAAGAACAGGATAGTCCTCTAGACCTCACTGTGAATCGAACTCAAGAACAGAATACTCAGCAAGGTAAATTTCTGTATCTGCTTATCTGTGTTTTGCTGTCATTTATTACCTTATTATGTCTTACTCCCTTAAAAAAATAAATATGTGTCTGTGTCAACTATCTATATGTTTTGTCTTTCCAGAGTAGTAATCAGTATATTGGAAAAAAAAAATTATCCTATATGATTAAAATAAGGTTGAAGGAAAATTGGCATTGCATCAACTTAACAATTAAAGAAAACTCGTACATTTTCCTCTAAACATCAGGAAAAATGTTATAAGAGAACCGCTTAAAAAAAAAAAAAAATACATTCTTTCTAGAAGCATTTTTCACATTGTGTGTTAGCAGATACATATTCTCATTTCTGAGTTCCTGTGTCAAATAAGTAGCACTGGAGTTTCACAGCTTTAGAATACTGAATCAAAGTCGGCTCACCTGTGGCTGTCACAAGTAACAATGGTTCACGATTTTGTTGAAGAAATGGCTGTTAAGAAGCCTTCTGAGAAAAGAGAGAAAGATACTGGAATTTCAGAGAGCAGCAAAGGTAGCTCCATCTATGTTAGCACTTGGATGCTTTAATTCTTTAGATACAGACTGGTTAGAATGATGAAAGAAGATTAATTTGGGAGGAAATTTCCATACTTCATGCCTTAATAGTTATAGATCAGTGTAACTTTCTTAACTGAGAGTAAAGCTAGAAAAAGAAAAATAGTCTGTCTCACTGTCACTTACAAAAAGGAAATAATTTCTTTGCCTCAAGGAATATTGCTATCCAAAACTGATAACAATATAATCACAAGAGTGTTTTGGACTTTGAAATTGATTTGGATTAGCAGCAGTTTTCAGGAAGGGTTGTGATTGTCATGTGCAACTGAAAGCAGTGGCAAAAGCAGCTTTTGTCTTTTGCAAATACAAGGGTCCATGTTAATGCAATAATACTGCAGACCAAAGGGAAAAGTTTGCCTGTATGTCATATTCCATACTAAAAGAGGTAAAAGAAGGTAGAACTGTGGAATTAAAAACCAACATTGGTCAGAATGAAAGCAGATCGTGTATGTGTGTGCTTAACAGATATACTTTGTTAGATGTAACTATTCTAGATTAAATTTCAAGCATCCTTTCTCTTTGACAGCAGAAGCATTAAGAAATTGTGAAATTCCTGCTTTTATTCTGCATGCTGAGCAGAAACAACTTGATGCCAGGGTTTAGCCAATACCTTGTGCAGATTAAATCCTGAGAAAATATCTGGTGTACTTTGACATACTTTTGCTATGGATAAATTACAGATTTTAGAGATTTATAATTGGCCAGGTAGAAGCATGTTTCTTTTGCAAGGGCAATAAAAGTACTTTCCTGATATCAGCGCTATAGCCTTTTGCTTACTTCAACAGTTGGTTACAAAGAATAACTAGTTTAAAATGTCTGTGAGGAAGCAAAGTACTCAAAGACAGGTTCTGGTCCTCACTGAGCTCTAAATCTTTGAGGAAAGAAAGGGAAGGTAGAGGGTGAATGGGGCAGGGATGGGAAGAAATTTCTGCTGCCACTCTCAACTATTTGAAAATCCATTGATCTTTTGTCAAAGAAAAACTTAAAGTGTAGAGAGATTGATTTAAATCTTTCTTTATATGTAATTTGAAAATTTCTTATAATGAGCATAAACAGCAAGTTTAGAATTGTGCATCTTCAGCAAAACATCTGAGGCTAAAATAGTTGCTCAGCATGCATAGTTTACTGTGTAAAACTTGTATACTGTGTAAGATATTGTAGATTCTCAGAACTTAACACTGCCGTGTTTGCTGGAGTGCTTTGCAGATGTTAGAGATACTAGTCTTGCTGTGAGGTTTAGAGCTACTAAAATGAGAGGAAGTATTGAAACTGAAGACTGTAGCTGGAGAAAGGTTTCAATCTGTCTTGTTTTGTCTTATCTTATCTTATCTACAGGGAAGTTGTATTGCGCTTCCCGTTTCCCATGAACATATCAATTTTGAGCTGTCTTAGCTTTCCACTGCGGTAGTAGCAACACAAGCAAATAAGATCAAGATGAGAAAACAGCCTGCTCTTTTTTATTTGCATTGTGTTCTAGGTGCAATGATTAATGAAAAGTTCTTTTAATTAGCTATTGTCAGGGACTATGTATTATTATTCTACCTACCCGTGTTCTTTTCCTGGAAAAAGCTTACATGCTTGCAGTAGGGAATTGTGAAATTTAATGGATTATTTTCAAAAATATATTATTCTGTGTCTAACATGGTATACTTCTTCAGTGTGGACACTCATAAAAGCTATACAATCGTTCCCTTCTTAGTAGTGTCTTTTAACTGTCATGCAATTCTTTTTATTATTTACTCTTTGTAATTCCTGTTAGAATTTCCAAATGAAGTGGCAGTAACAGAGTAGGAAGTTCAAACTTTGTACATTGCTCTGATGGATCTTCAGAGTTGAAATCTTTTTAATTCAAATCCTGTGAAGCAGATATTGACCTAAATATAAATACTTCAGCTTCATTTTCTGTTCAGGCAGGTGTTTTCTATTTATAGTAGTCATCTTTAAAATGAATGATCTAAGTAATAAAAAAGACAGTCTTGTTCCTTCACTATGGCAATGATTCTTGGACTTAAGTTGAGAGGAAGGAGTAAGTTTATTTTCCAGATCGCTAGAAGCATTTTTTCACACTGAGTAGATCCAAGCTAAGTGCTAGCTCAGTGTGAAAAAAGATTCTGTCGCTGAAGGTATCTAGGTGATCTTCACTTCATTTAAGAAAGCTTCTTTCTTTCCTCCAGTATCTGTGGGCCATCTCTGAAGTACTCCCAAAATATGCAGGTCTGACACTTCCAGACCTGATACCCCTGTGTATTATTAGGTCTACATGGCAAGGTTTTGTTGCTGGTGAGTGCTGCAGGGATGGTGTCTATGGGAAGAGGTCAGGGGCTGTCCTGTGCTAGGCATAGCCGGCTCTCCAACAGACCCACAACAGGCCAAAGTAGAGCACATCAGTGAGGTTTGCAGTGCCTCTGTGAACACATGTTTAAGAAAGAGCAAAAATGCTGGACAGGCAGAGCAGTGAGAAACAGCAGGATGAACAACAAGGTCAGAGAAGGAGGGGGAGGCGGCGCTCCAGGCACCAGAGCAGGTATTTCCTGGCAGCACACGGAGAGAACCACGGTGGAGCAGGTATTCCCTTGCAGCTCATGGAAGAGACCACTCTGGAGCAGATATATTCACACTGTGGCCTGTTGAAGACCCTGCATTGGATCAGCTGCATATTTATTTCCTGAAGGAACTGTGGCCTGTGGAGAACCCACAATGGAGCAGGGGAAAGTGTGAGGAAGAAAGAGCTGTAGAGAGGAATTTTACTGACTGTAATCCCTGTTCCCAGTCCTGCCTGTACCACCTGGGAATGGGGGAGAGAGGTAGAGGAGTTGAGAGTGAAGTTGAGCCTGTGAAAAGGTGGGAGGTGCTTTAATTTTTGTCTTTCTCATTTTCGAAATTATTGTAATTTGCAATAAATTAATTTTCCCCAAGTCTGTGTTGCCTGTGATGGTAACTGGTAAGTGGTGTCCCTGTGTTTATCTTGATGACCTTTTTCATCTTATTTCTTCCTGCCCCCCTGTTGAGGAGGGGGAGTGAGCAAGGTGCTGGGTGGGGATCTAGCTACTGGCCAAGGTCAACCCATTTCACCCCTGGTACTGAACCACTCAGTACTGAGTACTTACGCACTGGTATCCGGGTATGTCCAGCTAGCACCCAACTGATAGCAGAGTCCCAAATTGTGCTCTGTTTTGTTCTACGTGTGGAAGTATGGTAACTTAGCAGGGTGCTTTAATTCCTGTGTAGCTTGCTGGTAACTAATCAGGCAATTACTTCACTGTCAGTCAATTAGAAGCAACTGTCTCCAGAAATATCTGTATCTTGCTCTTTTTTCCTAATCCATGTAACTCTAAGACTGTCCAAGCCTTGAAAAGAATGCTCTGTATAGTGAAAGAAAATTTGTTTTGTGTGCACTGCTTCTAACAAAAATAGAATGGTATTGTGTATTTGTGCATTACTTGTCTTCCAAACTAAACCAACGAAAAAGGAGCATCCTTGCAGAATACTACATTGAGTGAGGAACAGTCTTGGAATATCCTGCAGCAACTTACTTTCTTGTGCAGTCACAATGCTGAGCTCTTCGGGGAGTGTTCCCAGCAGCAGCTAACTTTGATGCAGAGGCTTCTTTCCCTTGATAGATACAGGAGAGTTGATCGCTCTCAAGCTGCTAAGCCAAGTGACTTACAAGAGGCAGAAGTATATGTACAAATAAATAATGTGTTAGTTTAGCTACACAAGCTTATTCCCATTGCCATAACTTCTAGGAACAATGATAGTGTGTAAACATAGCAGAAAAACACAAGAGAATTTGCACAGATTTCCTTGTGTCATTGATTCGTCATAGACTGGAAGACATCAGAAGGTAGCAATGCGTGACATTTTGCTGCGTGAATTTTTTACAGCTATCCTGTAGCTTTGTCATTGCAATGTGCATGTGATTTCACCAAAATTTGTAGCAAAATAACGATTTCTGAATAATGGACCAGAATTTGGAAAAAATTTTTAATTTTTGAAAAGTGGTTTCGTACCTCTTGAAAATCCACCCTGAAGTTAGTATGGCAACTGGGATCACAGCCTGTGTGGCCTCTTGATTGCTGTGTTCAGGACTACTGAAAGAATTCCAAACGTTACTGAAAATAACCTTTCATTGTCTTAATATACCATTCTTACCATATGTATTAGGGAAAATACTATGCTTTTTGAAGGTATATGTGCTATATTCTCAAAGATGATTTGTATGAGCTGTAAATATGTTCAAGAAACAGTTTGCTTAATACTTCTGTATGAAAAGGTCACCCTAAAAAGGTACATTTTTGAGGGGAGTACGTGTTTATTTCTTTCTTGGCTGCCATAGCGGTTAACAGCCAAGCTCCTTGTCAGACACTCGCTTGCTTGCTTCCCTGTCAATGGCATAGGGAGAAAATGGGAAGAACATGAAGGAAAGCTCATGAGTTGAGATAAGGACGTGGTTATTGCTTACCACTTACCATAATGGGCAAAACAGACTCAGCTTGGGGGAAATTAACTTAAATTATTGCCTATTAAAATAAATATTTAATCATTAATTCAGGTAGTGGAAACAAAAAGACATGTTACACCAACACCTTTCCTCCCACCTTTCCCAGGCTCAGCTTCACTCCAGATTCCCTTCTGACCACCATCACACTCTGGTGCAAGGGGAATGAGTGTGGGGTGTCCTAATGGTTTCTCTTTGCCATGGGGCTTCCCTCTGCTGTTTTCTCATTCTTTTTGTTCCCTTTTCCTCTATCCATCTGGCATTTTTTGCCCTTTCTTAAATATGTTTTCCCAGAGGTTCTGCCCGAATGGCTGCTGGGCTCAGCTGTGTCCTGCAGTGGGTCTGTTGGAACCATCTAGAACAGGCACATGGCAGCTCCCTGTCTCTCCTCACAGCTGTTGCCAAGACCTTGCTGTGGACACCAGATATAGAGCCATATAGATTTCATCTGGTAGTTTCTCATTTTACAAAATAGCACAGAAGGTCAGCAAGAACAGTCTAGCCAAAGCAGTAGTTAAGAATTAATAAAAGGCTTTGGTGTTCTTACTGACAGTTCTCTGAAAGCATTGTTTCCATGTGCAGCAGCACAGAAAATAACCAGCAAAAGGCAAGGCATCATCAGGAAAGGTACTGAAGGCAAGACAGTGTCATTTTGTTGCTATGAACAATCTTTTCAATGTTTATCATAGCATGATGGATAAGGTAAAGGGAGAGCTGTTATTTTACTAAATCTCACAACATTAGAACTAGGAAGGGCTTGCTGAAACTTCTAAGAAGGGAAAAACAGATAAAGGGCAGCTTTTGCACAGCAGTTTGTGAACATCAGGAACTACTGTGACAAGAAATTGTGGAGATGGACAGTGTCACTGGGTTCGAATAAGACCTTGAACAACTTCCCAGCTAACAGAGCCAAGGCCAGAAACTAAAGCTGGAGTGGGCAGGGATGTATCTCTGAGATTCCTAATCCAACAATAGCATCTACTGGGAGAGCAGGGGAGGAATGAGCTGCAGGCAGTGGCCAGGCTCATGCATTCTCCCACACCAGGAGTGGAGTTTTTCCCATGCTTGGAGACTGAGGACCAGGTAGAGTAGGGTGTTTGACCTGGTAAGGCAGTTCATAATAGCTAGTGAGAGGTTTCCTGAAACCCAGAGAAAAACTGGTAAGTTTGCTAGAATCAGTAGAGAAATACAATTGTAGGAACTCGTGTGACACGTACAATTTCTGTTACTTGCTCTCAACCCCCCCCCCCCCCCCATTTCTCCAACCTCACTAGTCTGCAGGATTTTCAAGTAATTGTGATCTTGATTATTTTGAAGATGACCTTTGATCACACTTTGCTGTATCTTGGTATTGCTGCACCTGATGATCTGGTGCTGAGAAGCAAAGGCCAGAGGTCAATCCATTTCTTTGAACATCAAAATAATTTAATTTGCACGGAAATAACTTTGTTAGAAGACCATGAGCAGCAGACCTGAAAAACTTCTAATAATATTTTTCTATATTATCCAGTGTTCCATAGTATTGTTTATGAAGACTGTTGTCTTAGAGTCATGGCTTCAGCTAAAGAGTGGAAGTAATTCCATGTCTTTTGTTAAAACCACCTTACAGAGTGGTTTTTCTGTTCCTGATGTCATTCAGTCCCTGTCCAGAATTCTTGCCTGAATACCTGTTATGAGTGATTTGATAGAAATAATAAAAAGTTTTGGCTCAGTTTAAAAAAACCCTATTCTTACTTTACAAGTAAGAGGTTTTCAAGGTTCATTGTCTACCTGTAGGATGCCTCTTTGCAAACTTTTTGGTCTTGTACCTAATGAAACAAATTGAACGTCTTTACTGTGTATATAACATACATTCATTTCATATGTAGCATATCATATGTCTTCAAGCTTTATAGCTAGCGTTCTCCCTTTCATATCAATTGTAGGTGCTCCTTTGTTATAATAATAATAATTGATACTATTACAAAGCAGGAAGATCTACCAAAACCAGGAGCTACTGTGTATTTTGAATAAATTTTTTTTGGATTAGCAGCCCTTTCTGCATCAATTTTGGGGGTTTTGTGTTGTTTGGTTTGTGTTTTGGCTTTTTTTTTTAATTTGAGTGAAATCACTGAATTAAAGTCTGGTGTGTGGTGACTTTATCTAGTATTTTTTTATGCATATCAAATTTCTTTCATGGTTCTCTCAGTTGTTTTACTGAGGATCATTTTCCCATGAAGAATTGACTTAGGGAGGCATCATATATTAATGAATACATTTGCTGTGTTGGAGGAACCAACTGTCTTGAAACTGAAATGAATCTCCAGTTCTGCTTACTCGTTAGAGGCCCAAAATGTATCTGATTTTTTGCTTCAGGAGTCTGCATTTTCGATACAGTGTTCTTTAGTAATTTTTCAACTTATCGGTGGCCTTGTGTTGTCAAAACCAATTCTGAAAGATTGGAAAGTAAAATTATTCTGGTTAGGTTTTGTTATAGAATCTTGTGAGAGTTGGCAGGGATGGGGGCAGGGCGTTAGCTTCATTTTGTAGATTGACTAGAGAGAGATGGTTAGCTCTTCATAACGTGATGAGTTCTGAACTTTGAAGGAGCTTTTTCTCCTGTGACTTTATCCAGTGACCTCTTCTAAACTTTTTTTATCTTAGTGCCTATGAATATCAACTGAAGATGGAGAAACAGTTGTGCAAGGGAACACACAAGCACTTAAGAAAGGGAGATGTACTTTGTATGGCTGACAGAACATAGCAGATGAAATCTCTTGTACAGGACTCGGGGGCGTTGCTAGCTTGGGTATTTGGGATGCTTCAGAGCTGGGTAGGCAAAATAGTCCATGTAGACTATTCCTGTAGTGTTTTTAATTGGCTTTTCCTTCGGGAATTTCACTGCATCAGAAAGATTGAATAACATTAACTAGTCCTTCCTTTAACTTCCTTAGGATTAAGGAAGGCTTTGAAAGGAACATATTCAGGAGAAAAGGAGCATCTTTGACATGTGGCATATTTATAAATATTTTTTCCCCCTTATGCTGACTTACGATGCTACTTTTCCTCTCTTTACCCTTCTTCAAATAATACAAAATAGTTGAGGAAAAACGGTAAAAAACTGTTAAAATCCGTCCAAAAAAAATAGCTGGATTTCATTATTGCATAAAACTCTTATTTTTTTGCAGTATTGATATAAAGGAGAGTTACCCTAACGACTTTTCTGACTTCTTACTTGAGTGTTGGCGTTTGGACTATTCAGCCAATGCTTGATGTCTGCATATGAGGCTGTGGGAAAAAATATACCGTTGATTGATGTTTTAGAAGTAATACGCAGTAATGTGAAAATGACACTAATGCAAAAAGGGCTAGCATAAGGTTGCTTGTAGAGTTGAATGTTGAGCTACATGTGAAACTCAAAATTGGATCACAGAGCTCAGGCACACAAAACAGATGAAGTTTGAAACTGAACCAAGGAAGAAAGGTATGAAATTAAATATACTTAGGGGATTTATCTATAATTTAAATGTGATTTTTTAAAAAAAACCCAAAAGCTTAAACTAGAAGGAGTATTTAGGTACTGATTAGTTTCTTTAATTTTTGGTGTTCTTAAATATTTGATTTTTAAAAAAATACGGTTTTCTATTTCAATACTTCATAGATTTCAACAGCCAACTATAAATCTTGAATTTAACATTTGCCAGTGACTTAACAGAGAGGACTCCCACCCCCGTTTAGGTCTTTCCATTTGTCTAGTTTCATTATTACATATGTGTGGGGGCAGCAGGGGGAATACGTATAAACAAACTATTAGAAATTTTAATGACATATGTCTCATATGCTTAAAACTCTATATTGGGCTAGAGCTCTCTTCCCAGTTACTGGGGTACTACTTTCTCATCTAGTAACCTGGTCTGGTCTCATAGCTGACCCTGCTCTAAGCAGGAGGTTGGTCTAGAGACCTCCTGAGAACCCTAGGAGCCTGAATTAGCCTTTAAGCCTATGACTTACTGAAGTTAAAATTGGCATAACTATCAGGCTTGTTTGTTTACCATGTGTAAATATGAATATATGAATAATAATAATCATAATAATAATACCAAGTGCATTGCTTTGGTTGCCTTGAAAGTAAACAGTACAATATATACGCATACGTAATTTTTAGGAAAGCAGTCACATGTTTCTGTTTAAGGCAGATTCTTTTAAATTTTATTATTTCTGAATGGGTTTATTTTTTATTGTTTCTTAATTTTAAAAAGTTTTGTTACCAATCAGATATGTAAAACCATTTGCTGACAGCTGACATTGTTAAAGAAATAAGATGTCAGAAATTTTACAAGATAAAGTAACTGTTTAAAAATTGCACTGTAGGTACAAACATTTGCTAACAAAATTTCTGAGATCATCCTTAAGCAACTGCTATCATCACTACTTGTTCTTTGCAGGGGATGGAGTGCTAGATCTCTCTACAAAGAAAAGCGCAAGGTTGGAAGAACCGAAATATGATCCGTTGTGTTCTGAAAACTCAGTGTCTGGGTAAGCAACGTTTAGGATTCTCTCTGGCTTATGTAAAAGACAATCCAGGTTTCTCTTCTCTGAAGTCAGGTTTTATGTTCATAACATATTTGTATATACTGACACACACATGTGGTTCCTATTTTGCTTTCAAAAGAATTTTTGTCACTCATAAGTGTGTGTCTATGTATATATCATATGTTTCATTTGTCTTTTTCCTTTTTTTCTGTTTAAAGAAAAGTTATCAGAACAATCACCAAACTTTAGTTCATGTTACTAAAAAATGAACTGAAAATTGATTACATAACACATTAAAAGTAATAGGATAGTAGAAGAAAATGTAAATACATTATTTCAGAGTTTATTTAGGGAACTTCAATTTTGGACAAAAATGACCATGTTAATATTTAGATTTAAAATATTCTTCAACTAACATGAACAAGTTAAAGGACTATTATATATAATATTTCTTAATAAGAGAGAGAGCAAGCGCGAGAGAGAGCTCTTAATCATCATACTTCTACTTACATCATGGTTCTGACTATGGTGTGTGGTGGCAAATGGTTAAATTTCTTTATTCAGCAACAAAAACGTTATTGCATCTGCTGAAAGCTACCACAAAACTGGTGAAACACATTGTTTTGTTGGATTTTGTTATGATCTTGGCATCTTCCCATCCACTAGCCATAGCAGGACCCTTTTTGTCACCTGTACGTCTTACCAAATAACTTATTACAAATAGGACTACAATAGCAGTATTTGTTGAATGATGTAAAATTGCATTTTATTAATTCGCTGATATGAAGAAGTTTTAAAATGAATATGACTTTGTAATTAGAGAGCTGTAAATAGTGGTTAGAAGTTTTTATATCTATGTCTTATTTTGCCAAAGTGGACTTGATTGTTAACTGCAGCACTTTATCTTACTGTTGTAGAAAGCCTAGTTTTGTGTAAGTCTGGGATGTTTGTGCGTAGTTATGTACTTATTGCTGCAAATTTTCTATGAGGGGGTTGACTCTTTTATTACTTGTTTAGCGGTAACGTCACGTTTCTACTAACAAAAACTCCTTCAGGATTTGGGTATTTAATGGAACGTTAATTGTATAATTAAAATTATAACAGTGTTGCTCCGCAAGCATGTGAACGAGGGAATATAGCAAGCACATGAGAATATTATCAAATACTGAGCTAGGCTATAAAGTTCTTGGAAGGGCTGCTGTAGAAGCCACCGTATGATTTTTGATGCACTGTCCTACCAGAACTGTAACATTTTGCTAGGATAATCATTTAACTACCACATCTCAAAGGCTTAAAAGTATCAGAAGCAGTGATGTTACCGAAGCAAGGAGTATAATAAAGGAGTGGACCCTTCCCTTCCATAGCTGTGTGAGAGTCTCTCATACATCAGTTTACCATCGTTTCATTCCATCCATCCAGGAGACTACACAGACACAGAGAGGACTATGTGGAAAGAAGTGCTGAGTTTGCAGATGGTTTGCTCTCAAAAGCTTTGAAAGACATTCAGTCTGGAGCACTGGACATAAATAAAGCAGGCATACTTTATGGCATACCTCAAAAAACTTTACTTCTCCACTTAGAAGCCTTACCAGCAGGAAAGCCTGCACCTTTTAAAAACAAAACTCGAGATTTCAATGATAGTTATTCATTTAAAGACAGTAAAGAAACTTGTGCAGTCCTACAAAAAGTAGCCTTGTGGGCAAGAGCTCAAGCAGAGCGCACAGAAAAAAGTAAACTCAGTCTACTTGAAACCTCAGAATTAAAATTCCCAACAGCTTCCAGTTACCTCCACCAGTTAACTCTACAGAGAATGGTCACTCAATTTAAAGAAAAAAGTGAAAATCTACAATATGAAACTGCAAGTCCTACTGTACAATTAAAAATTCCTCAGCTAAGAATAAGTTCTGTGTCCAAACCACAGTCTGATACTGCTGGTCTTCTGGATGTTATGTACCACGTTTCTAAAACCTCCTCAGTCTTAGAAGGATCAGCTCTTCAAAAATTGAAAAATATACTCCCTAAACAGAACAAAATTGAATGTTCTGGACCTGTAACTCACTCAAGTGTTGACTCCTACTTTCTGCATGGGGACCTCTCTCCTTTGTGTCTTAATGCTAAGAATGGGACAGTAGATGGAACCTCAGAAAATACAGAAGATAGTTTGGATCGTAAAGATAATAAGCAACCAAGAAAAAAACGTGGCCGCTATCGGCAGTATGATCATGAAATAATGGAAGAAGCAATTGCAATGGTAATGAGTGGGAAAATGAGTGTTTCCAAAGCACAAGGAATTTATGGGGTACCTCACAGCACTTTAGAATATAAAGTAAAAGAAAGATCTGGAACATTGAAGACTCCGCCGAAGAAGAAACTCCGATTACCAGATACTGGCTTATTTAATATGACAGATTCAGGGACTGGCAGCTGCAAAAATAGTAGCAAGCCTGTGTAGAGTAATTGTTAGCGAGTTGTTTTGTGTGTGTGTATGTATGTCTGTATACACACACTGTGTGAGAAATACATATGCTCACTCTGACAGAAGACGTGAAATTATACAGTTCAAAAACCACATACATGCCTTTTGAAAAATAGTTTTATTCAGGGTTTTCACTGTGGACAGAATTATAGAGTTGCTCACTTAATTCTGATAGTGTGTATTTAATATAATCCTTGTATAAATAGGTGAAAAGATTCAGGTTTTATTTAGTAGTCAATAGCATAAAGATGTTTTGGGAAAACAAGTATTTGTCATGTGAAGCATAATTTTTAATTGGTGAAGAACCACTCTACCCATTCAATAATCCATCTTATTATGGAAATACATAACCAAGGGTTAGCAGACTTTTATACTTCACAGAATACTTGCAATAAATTGTAAGTAACTCAGATTATACAAATTAAGGGATTTTTTTAAAAAGCTAGTTCCTTACAAGGAAGTGGATTTGTGAAGTATTAGTAGGATATAGTACATTCTGTGAAAGAAAAAAAGTTCATCGTTACTTAAATATCCAATACAAGTAAGAAAAACATTTCATTACTAAAAATGTGTGTTTAGCAGGCATAAACTGCATTTTTTATCATTTTAAGGAAATTTTGTTGTTGGTTTAGAAAGAAATTGGTGTTTACAAAGTGTACACTTATGAAACCTGAGAAATTACTGTAGTTATAGAATTATTAAATATGAAATAAGATGGAATACTAAGAGCATAAAATAATTTAAACTTTAACATAATTTTCCTTTTTAGTTTGACATAAGGTAACTTGTAAGGTTTAAAAAGAAAGTTGGAATGCAACTTAGAGCATGTTCATAATGTGCACAGAATGAGCTTGAGAATGGTTTGGGTTTGTTTGGGTTTTTTGTTTAAAAGTGCTGGTTAGTTGATGTTATGACTACTTAAAATTTATTTAAGGATTGTGTCACACTCCTATTGAAAAACCTCACTGTAACTGTAATGTATTTGCTGCTGTGACATTTCAAAACATTTTCAGTTTATCGATATGAATACCAAGTTACATTATCATTTTGCTAATAACCAAATTTGCAGTTCAGGGTCTTGATAGAAATACAAATATTAAACAGTGAAGCTGTTTTGAACTTTCAATAATATAAATTCTTTATAAATTTGGTAGTTAGAAGTTAGGCAGTTCACTTTAAATACGTAACTTTTAATAGAATTTAAGGGAGACCAATTACCTTCATATTGCAGTTTTTACATGAATTTCAAAGTATTCACATTGGACTTTATATCATACTTGATTTTTTTGTGTAGTATCACAAAGTATATGTCTACATATGAAGAATGGGGGCTTGCTTAATACATTCAATACTGAACATCAATGCCCTTTTCCTCTCAAAATGTAATTTTTTCTGTATGCATCTAATTTGGCATAGAAAAATACTTTTCTCCAACTTTTATACATTTGGTGCACATGCATTCATTTTTTTCCCCACTTTAAATTTGCATGTGTATAGTTTAATTATATAAATTAAATGGGACATTAGATACATATGGGCCACATCAGGTAATTTGACTTACAGATAAACTTGCCATTAAATTCAGTGGAGAGCATACTGCAATATTGATGGCAAAATCTAGCCCATTAACACTATTAAAAAATAACAACTTCCATTTTAAAACAGAATAATCCTTTGAAACTGCACAACCAGTGACTCAGTTCTTTGGTCTCTCAGATCTATACTGAATCTTCTTCAGTGCTTAAGGTTTACTTGCATAATACAGAATGAATCCTTTTTTTAAGCAGAACTATATCTGATAACAAGGAGGTCATAAAACAGCAGATGTCAGGGTCATCTTTCATTTTAAAAGAATTAAGCCATATTTTGTGAGGGCCAGAAGGATTAATTTGTGAATATATCCCCACCGAAAAATGAAGTTGAAAAAAACTTAAGTGTTTCAAGATCTGTCTTTATACAGTTTTACTTGCAAAACTTTTGGGCTTCAGTACATTGCCTAATATTTGTACCATACTGATGTTTTCTACTCCTCAGACAATGTTATAAATTTGAGTCAGAAGTTTATATTGAAGGCAAGTTACAGTACTCTTTTTATATCATTTAAAAGATGACCTGACCAAAAAATTAACAGGATTCATAAAATCAGGGATCATTTTACTATTGACTTAACAGTACTCAGTAGTTTTGTATGTAATATTCTAATTAATTTTCAACATTTTAGTACTTGTATTTATTTTTTGGTCAGAAATAGTATATTAAAATATTTTTTGATAGTTTATAGATGATACTCAACCTGTAAGTGTTTAAAGGAACAGAATTATTTGTTTCTAATTATTAGGCTAACCTTTGATTACACAACTAAGGAAAGGCAGGGAAATGTGTAGATTCTCCTTCCCCAACCCCTATCTATTCCATTAAATGTCATTTAAATTACACATTTTGAACTGTTTTATAAATTCAGTTACCAGTCACTACTTAGTAATTGACAATTTCTGAAAATTCCTGTTTCAGCAGAATTTTAAATGAAGGCGAAAGCAAGCCCTACATGCTTTCTACTTATTTGAATGTTTCTCAAGTATTTTATATTAAAAAACAGTGCCTCTGTTTTTAGAACTACTGCTCAGTAAAGCTGTTTAAACCATTTCTGGTAGCTAATGACAATTTTATATTAAATTGTATATTAACTTTAGTGAGACTGATTTTTTTAGTTGTTTACAGTACAAATACTTGTATTTGTTTTTTAATTGCAGTATTTCCATTGTCGCAGTAATTTAGTAAAACTCTGTGGCTGCCTTGATTTTTGACAGATTTTTGTTAACAACTGATTTTTAGGCAATTAGTTATATTTATGCATAAATCAATTGCACTATAATTCATTAATTATTTATTACAATATTTTCTAATGAATTCCATGTATTTGTCTTGTGTTGTAAATGTACTGTAATTCTGTTTCTTCTTTGTGTTGTTATATTCCTAAATCTGATTGTATGAATTTAATTGTTTAGTTAACGTGTTTCTACGTTGTAATTTGTAGTAAAGCACTTCAATGCTTTTGCACATAAATTTACAACACTGATGTGTGATTGATTTGCTCATTCAGTAAAAAAAAAAAAGAAAGAAACAAAAACCTGTACACTGACTCATTTGACTTACTCCCGAGGCACAAGTTTATTAAGCAGTGGCATAAGATCAAGAACTGTACAAATCAAGCACATAATAACTAATTTGCTATGAGAATTTTTACATATCAGAAATAGTAGCTTTAAGGAATGATGATTTCTCAGAACTGATGCATTACTCATGAGAAATTCAGAAAACTAATTTTGTAACAATTAGATCCTTTAGTTTGCAGCTAAAAATTGTCTGTTATATATTAAAGACAATATATAGTTCTTTTGAGGGATTTATTTACTTAGTGAAGTCAGAAAACAAACGTTTCTATAAGACAAATTTATGTTTCCATAATAGTTCTATGCTGTTTATATGAGTACTTGAAAGTATGTTCTGTTCGCAGTTTTGTTCCTGTTCCCAGTCTGCAAAGAAGTTGCTAGATCGATCTATCTTGTCTGTGGCTGAGGCAACAGGGGATAGAACGCTAGGGAAGGACAACTTTTGCCAGTCCTCTGATAGAGCTCTTTCCAGATAGGTTTTTTTTTGGATTTGTGGAGGAGGCAAAGGTTAATTTTTTATACATAAAATAATATGCTGAAAGGCTAGCACTTAACCTTATCACATCTCTGCCTTTGTGCCAGTTTTGGACTCCAGTCAATCCCCACTCCATGGTATTAACTGCCCCTGCCCTCCATCAGGGAAATAATGTCATTCCATGCTTAACTTTTGTCTTCAGAGATACTGTGCACAAAAGGTACTGGGGGAGCAGCTCGTATTGATCCTCTGACCTCTCAACCCCTCCATTTCCTGCCCACTCTCTCTAGCCATCTTCTGCGTGTGATTTGTAGGAAGTGTAAGACTCTTCTGTGAAGGAGTATATGCAACTGTGAAAGTCATAGCTCTTCCCTCTATGAAATTATTGTTTAAGCCTTTTATCTTGAGGATAGTCTACACTACTGTGTGACAACACAAATTTAAAGGGCTATAGGAAGGAATTTCAGGAAACTGAAATATAATTCCATAATTGCATTGAAAACTACTAAATATTAGTTTGTTTAAATATATGGACATCTCTACAGAGAGGCAATTTAAAGAAAATGTGTTGCTTTAATGTTTTCATTTGTTTGCGTAGTAAGCTCTGTTCCCAAATGGTGACCAAGTAAGGGGTCGATGTGTTTTCACAACTTGGAAGATCATTTGGAGGTGAGTACTATTACAGTAGAATAGATGAAGTTAAGTTATCTGTCAGCTTTAGAAACTAACACACGCTCAGGGAAAGCAGATTATAACGTTACACAAGGGTACATAATCAGGAAAGAAATTGTATTAGAAGAATGTCCAGTGTGTCTGTGATAACCAGGATATTACTTTATACAACAGGTTGATCTCCACATAGCAAATTCAAAGTAGTTATGAGGCCTTTGGAAATTTTGGTTATTGATTCTGAGAAGGCTTTAGGGCTCTGGAAGTTTCTTCTACCAGTGCGCATGTTTCAAATAGCAGTTATGGATACAGATCGTCTACAGTTAAAGCTCTCCAGTGAAACCCCATCAGACATACCTTGCAAGTCTAGACAGACAGGAAGATACATATCTAGAGATTCACTCTAAAAAGACTGTACTATAGCCATCTTTCTAGCAAATTAGTACTTCACAAATTTATCTGTGATTTACAAACAAAATATTGAAGACCTAGTGCTGTGTTCATTTTTTTTCTATCTGACCTTTCAAGACATTAATTAAAGTCATGGTGGTGGGGAGGGCGGTTAGTTTTTATCCATAATTGTATTAGAATTGAGAACAAGCTTTGTTTTCACAAGGGTCATGGTACATTTCAACACCTTGTGACTCCTGAGTTTGTCGGACTGAGTAATGCTCAGACTCTTCTCAGTAAAGTGGCGTTTCAAAAACAGTTGAATCCTGACAATGACATGCCCTTGAAAAATGCTGGGTTTACTTCAGATTACAAGTGCAAAGAGGGTTTTTTTCTTTTTGAGAGTTCAATTGT